TCTCTGATATAAGTGGGCTTACAAGTTATGAGTACAATTTCAATACAATAGCTAAAGATGTTGACCCTTTTCGTGGAGGGTCACAGGCGATTTGGAAGTAATTTTCGCCATGCATGTCTAAAATTTAATCTTTTAGGAATAGATTCTTTGTCTATTTGATCAGATCGGATCCCGTTCAGAGACAAATACCCATTCCAATGCCATATCTACAGTGGGTCCTGGAAGTGGCATTGCAACCGCAGTCTGAACTTCTGCACAATCTTCGTCTTGATCCATTGCCAAAGGTAGATTCTAAATCGAGGAGCCCTCCAATTCAATAGAGACGCTAAATTCTAGCCGACCGTACAGGAGGTGCTACCTTGGTGCTACTACAGGCAGTACCGAGTGGTCTGCGGCGTCAACTTGCGCACCATGGACTAGTCCAGTCTGTACATCAATGATCCAGATGGCAGTTAACAAGGGAAACCCACGCCTCCACCAAAGGCACGAAATCTAAACTCGTGGATATCTATCCTTAGAGAAGACTTGAAGCACCATAATATGACGGAAGACTCGGGTGGTCAGCAATAGGAGACTTGACTAGGGCAGATGTCTTCAAAACGGCCACTTGGCTGCCAACGGCAATTTCAGCCTACGGCCTCGGTAGGCAGTCCTATGAACGAACATTCGATGAGTTAAGAACCTAATGCAGCATTACCAGTCTGTCAAATTGTCTTTCTGTGCAAACGGTAAGTGAAATCACGCATGATGATTTACCGTCCAGGTGAAGAAATGAAGCAAGCTGCCAGTCAGAGGATGGTTCAGCTGTGTTGGCAATTACTCCACCAACTGCAATTGTAATAGAAAACTCTTTCAGGGTAAGTGAATGTAGTCACTCCGCAAAGACTCTCTCGACGGTGCCAGAATCTGGCAATCTATGAATGACAAGGTTCCATTAAAGCGCTCAGAATGCCGTTCTTTTTTACAAAAAATAATCTCTCATTCCTTATTGAGTAATAACCAAAACGTCAAAGGTGATAACTACTAAACGGTGTCAGTGTTGACATCAATCAAGGGGTGACGGGAGGGACCAATTAGACAATAAAGAAGTGTGTTAGTAAATGGATTTATCAACCTTCCCTTAAGCAATTATGACAGAAGAAAACGATAAGGTGGCACATGATAGCTGCCAGACAACTTAATACAAGAAAGCGGTGGAGAATTGACTAACTTCGACCACCCACTAACAAGAGACTTGGAATTAAAGAGAACAAGTAGACCGGCATGTCTCTTCTTGACCTAATTTGACCTCAAAACTGACGATTCCGTGAAAGAGAGGGAAGGGGTTAACTCATTTAAAAAAATGGTGAAAAATTACGATCTTTACTTTATATTTTCACACACATCCTGTACAGCATGCCCTTCATTTTCCGTCATCGTCACTGTCGCCGCATTCTCCCCTTCTTCTTCTTCCTCCTCCTCCTTCTCCTCTGCCTCCACTTCTACTTCGTCACTTTTCGTCTTGTCCACACCCAACAGTTTTCCAGTGTCCTGAATGCTCTCAATAAACTCGGGGGTCATGTACTGCTCCAGCAATTCACGCTTCCTCTTCTCCACCAACGCCTCTTCAACCTGTAATGGAATAACAACTCAATGGGATCTTCGAAGAGCAGTCATAAACTATTAGTTTAAATGGGAAGACAAAGTCAGCTATGATATGATGTTGGAACGCGCGAGAAACGGAATTCGCTCCAAACAAAAGAAGAGTTTACCATCTACCACTGTGAGGGTTGCATTTGCTTCCAAAGAGCAGCGGTATTATTCCCAGACCGCCAATCACTCACCTCTTTCTGGCTCGGTATGGAAGCGTGGGCCACAAAAGCGCGTTTAAGGTGACCGGGAGGACGGGCGCCAGTTTTCGCCAGCAGTTCATCTAGCGTGAGTTCGCGCTCCGCTTCGATCGCATCTACGTCAGTGGAGGAGAGGGCCATAGCCAACGAGGCGTGCACTGTGCCCTCCGATTCAAGTAGGCGTTTTGTCTCGGAGTCGCGTTCTGCAGTCGCGTAGAGCTTTAATAACTCGGTGTCTGCGGGCTAAAGAGAATCCGAAAAGGCGTTTTTTAGTCCAGGTATAGCGTTGAAAAGGAGGCGAGCGTTTCATAACCAGGATTTACGCGGCGAATAATAAAAACGGTAGCGAAACTCGACCTTAAGGCAAAACGTCTACCTAGAAATTATTGCTTGTCCGATTGCTCAAAGGCATTTGGTAAAGGTAGAGGCGATTGACTTTGGGAATGGAGGTAGCGACAGATCAGTTTCTTACAAAAGAGAACAGCGGTATCGCCAAGAAGGGATTTTCAAGAGCTATAAAATCCGCCAAATTTATTACTGGCTTAATAAATAGAATTCTCCTCTACTTTCTCCCTCACAAAGAGTTGGAAATAACATCCATGATTGTGGATATCAGAGTTGTCAATTTGGGACAATTATGGGCAATATCCAGCTTATTAAATCTGTCCGCAACAAATCCTTTTTTAGTCATTACACAATACAAGGCTCGGCTGACGCTCACTTACAAATTCCTAACAGTTCCCGATGCAAATGTGAGGAAGTGAAACACTAAAAAATTCAGGTAGGCCCATAAAATGCAGCTTGTTTCCCCCAAAAATTGCACAATAAATAAAAAAGGCTTTACCAAAGATCGGAAGGTTCGAGAATGATAAAATATGGCAAAATACTAAACCCCAAATACTTCACAGCACGGGAATAAAACATCTCAAGCGAAATCTGACGTACATTGTCGCCAGTATCGTAAATATCCTTATCATCGGGATTGTCTTCATCCACCTCCGCCTCCTCGGCCAGCTGCTCGGGAGTTTTGTAATAGGCGGCTTTGCGGCCGGCCACTTCGTCCGCATGGCGACGGCGCCACACCTCCGCCTTCTTTGCCATTACTGGGATAGTAAACAATTCGGCTACTGAAACCAGTGGCAGTAGGCAAAGCCCCTTCAAAGTTGAAAAGCCTTATTCGTACACTTATTTTTGTGGATGGAAAAAGTGATACCTTAGTGGCGAATTATCTTTACCCCGGTGAAATATTAAGGCCTACTCGAATTATCAGCAAAGTGCACAGGAAGTTTTGACAGATGAGAATGATGTGGTGTTGGGGCACACACATTGAGTAATGCCAACTTTCCGACTGCGAATCAAACAGAGGATGCCAGTACCTTTTTAATCTTTGCGACTGGATTAAAATTAGCAGGATTTCTAAGTGAGATTAACCAAGATTTTAACAAACAGATATGTGGAGGGGCAAGGCAAAAGACTGAAGAAGTTTGCAGAGAAAATATGATACAAGGTAAATTAAATGACGATAAAAAGCTCCTTCCCATAATCCCTTGCCGATGGGACACAAGATTGCGAACACGACTTCGATACAAATCTTGCCCCTTGAAACAGACAACCTGGCCCTAGCCACCTCTATCTCACTTTTATTTCCAAACTGTCTCTATTTTTTCGCGTAGAATTACCAAATGCTAATAATAGGTGAAAATTATCTGGAGCAAAATCGGGGAGGGCACGGAGAAGTGAGCGGCAGCTCCCACCATCCCATTCCAGAGTGTTGCAAGAGATCAAACCCTAGCCTATAAGACCAAGACTTTCTTTTAATTGATCCGCTAGTCCCACTTACTTACTAGGTTGTTTAAAAAACAGCCTCTTTGGGTTTTGGCGAGTAGACCTCAGTCGGAGTGCTTTGACAGCAAGAAATAAATTTCAAAGAAAACCGTCTTCATTCGAAAACACACCCAAAAAGTAAGCACAGTATTTCGGTAATGAACTGGGAAAACCTTTGGAAGTATGAGAAGAGCGACGAATGGACCATTTGGGATAACTCAAGATAGTGGTCGCTTGTTTAGAGATGCGGTCAATAGCCATTTCGCATTAAGTCAATCAACCAGTGAGCGAATAATGTGAAATCAGTCTTTTTGAAGTACTCGATAGAATTCATTGTAGTCGGTTGATTTACGCAGACAGAACCCATTCAAATCGACAATTTCAAAAAAATCATTTTATCACTCACGATAGACATTTCAAAAAGACATTCTTGGGAAGTTAGTCTCAAATTATTTGAAGCAATGACGACACGCGATTCTTCTTCAGCAAGAACGTCGGGCCCTTCTCAAAGTGATGCAGATTTGGTCACCAGGACCAACTTGCTTATGATGGTTTTGAGCAGCATATTATGCTGCCTCATACGACATCTTTAAACACTCTACAACGAATCCCACAAGGGGCCTTGGAAGCTTTGGAGACAACTCGATATGTTAACTTCTTGATATTTTAGTTTCAAACATGGAAAATAGCTAATAACTAGCCTTCAAGTCAGGTAATGTTTTGAGAGAGTAGAAATAGCGAGGTAGTAACCAATGGTTTGAGGCGCAAAGAGCCTTATAGAATGTGAAAAAGAAAAAGACATTTTTATCAACGATTTCCGAAAAACTGAAGGCACAAGTCAAGAAATAGATAAGGGTGCTCCATCGGTTTGGAAAATACGCAACTACGCTCCTAATCTTGAATATGACCCAAAATGGTTTATACAGTTTATCAAAGTCCCAAGTAGAGACAAACTACATAGTAAAATCCAAGTTCCGTTAGTAGAAAAAAATCGAGACGCTACAAAAACAGTTAGGATTTGAATACCGAGACATTAATGAAATGACGCCTCGATCAACACACAAAACCAATCACTAGTGAAGATAACGTCCGCTTACGACAATGAAAACTCCTGGAACAAATCCAGCCGCGAGACAAATAACTTCAAGAAAATACAGCTTTTAAAGGAAACTTACAAAAAACGGTAATTGAAAAAGACTCAAAAATTGGGGAAGGTGGATAGCGTATCCAAATACGCTCATTGAACAGATAATCCCAATACTTAGAAGAAATCTCTAGAAGATCCACTGAGATTTTACGATTCACACCAAGACTACATCCACAACACGAGCGGAGCAAGCAGCCTAAGTTATTGAAGTAATCGATCGACTCACACTTTTCCTCGTAGGCAGTTTCCACAGGGAGAATAACCCCATCGTCTTCGTCGCAGTTACCATAGTATGAGATATCGACGGATTTCATCAACTCACCCCGCGTTTTTCTGGGTATCGGTTGAGCTGTACAATAAAAAAATGCGTTGATACTCAATGAAAATAGGTAAATTAAACGATTATGAAACCCACGTTGGTCCTCAAATAGCTCTCTAACACCGGGCAAATCGCGTGCAGCCCCAAAATATCGATAACCTCGGTTGCCTGGAACCTCCTTCCCATCTTTTTCCAAAAGCTTTGGTCCATCTTCTCGATAGTCCGGTCCACCAAGCTCCTTGATTCGCACATCCCATCGATCTTTCTCACGGATAAGCTTGTTGATTTCGTCATTCAGATCGCGTAATTTGTACTCGCCAAGGCTGGCTGAAGGAGAAAGAAACTGACGTCTATCCACCGCAACTTACGATTCTGGATTTGAGCTATTTTACGCGATATCTCGTGAACTACTTGACGCCGGAAGTACATAGCATCCTTGAGTATTTCACAATCACCAGCAAAGTGGGGGCGCTTTTTAATTTCATTGATCTTATCAACATAGGCTGCTCGCCAACGAGCCAAAGCAGTCCTAAAGGGTTTGTAAATGCCGCATAAAACTGGCGGTTACATTGCTTTTTCTGCGCTCCGAGCCTAAGTGTGGTGTAAAAAAGCAGAAAAATTTATCTACCATCCTTGTCTTTGAGGAAAAGCCGACCTTGGAGCTTATCTATTGTACGAAGTAAACCAACCCGACGACCTCGGGGCAGAACTAGCCTCACCTAGAAAAAATTTAAACAAGAACTAAAGCATTCATTTCGTTAATACATCTCCATTTGCAAAGCTAAGCAAAAATATCCATTTTTCACATTATATCAAAGAATACATTATATCAAAAATACATACACACTCTCTTATGGGGGAGGCTGCGTGAAATTCCACAAAACTGACACTGGTATGGCAAAAAAGACTAAGTGATGCAAAATCAATCCTAAGATGATCAGTTAAATGCACTTTATGCTGCCGACCCAAAGGAATTGAATTTCTGCACAAACTATTAGGTTTGCACAAGCTCTCACGTCCATTCCTTTTAAAATCATTGGTTCTCTGATGGCATCATTCGAACAGGAAATCAAAAGTTTTCGCTCAGGCTTGCAATTTCTTATTGCTATTTACCTACTTTTGTTACACATGCAATGTATAGTAAGATTAGCACTCAGTTACTGTCGGCTGGTATAACTGCGAGACTAAGTCAGGCATAGCAGCTAAAGATTCTCAGAATAAACAAGCTACCTAAACAATTCTGATATTTATAAATCCAATATTACTCTTGCAAACTTGCTAACCAAATTGTCTTGTTCTATTATACTAAATGAATCTACGGCACTGGTCTCTTATTCGAATATGTGGTGAACTCTCCCTATTTCATGTTTTATCGTGCTGTATAGTTTTTATCAGCTGCTACGTAATAATTTCTTAAGAAGTATGAGTAGGGTTATTACAAATGTCACTTCTTCTTCCCCGAACTCTCGTATGGTGTCGAAAGATCACATTCGTTCGTCTTCCTCAGAAGCGTCCATAGACAAGTCGGAACCCAGCATATCTTTCAAGTCAAAGCTCTTTGCAAATGACTCATCGGAGAAGGAAAACACTTCAAACCGGGATAGTTTGCATAACATATCAGGGAAGGCACCAGTGCAGCCTAAAAACATTTTTGACGTCGGTTTCTCGAAATTGCCTAAACAAATATACCGGAAAACCATTAAAAGAGGATTTACTTTTAATATTATGCTCGTCGGAGTAGCTGGTCTGGGAAAATCTACGTTTTTGAACACTTTGTTCATGACAGACATCTATAACGACGAATTCCTGGTTCGTTTCCTTATATCATGTATTTATTCTTTATTATCCCCAAACCTGATCTCTTTTTATCACTAACAGTAAATTTTTCTTTAGAGGTAAATTTTAAGGTCTTTCATATTGATTTTGCGTAGTAAATAGACAGTAATCATTTGCGTTGCTTTAATCGTCGGACAAGATTCTTGTTTTTTTTTTCAATATTTATGAACTTGCTTTAAAGCAATTTTTAGTGCCATATAAATTTTAACTTTGTCATGTTATAAATATTGCTGGGACCGATTACTTTTAATCCATATTTCTGGAATATTTTTGTCAAGAAATGATAAGTTTTTGTGCTAGTGGCGTTTATTAAAGCATTTCTTAAAAGTGGTTAGTTTTAACATTGCTGAGTTGATAATCTGAGTACCTCGAGGGTTTCCAACAAATTTATTTGGAACAAATTGTAGAGTAGTTTAGGACTCACTTTCTGCTTAGACTCAATTATCAGTTCAATACTCTAAATGTTACAATATCCACTTATATTGATGAAAAGGCTAATAGCACTGACAAACTTTATCCCTTGCCGTTATCAATCCGCTTGCTTTTTTCTTAAGGGTACCTTGTTGAATTCTACGCAAATTGTTTTTCAAATATTTGTTACGATACACCTAGCGTCCTCTTTAAAAGTGATTTTGTAATCATAGAGAAGTAGTTAGAAGAGCGTACCTTAAGCATTGGATTTCTTTAAAAAACATCAACAATTTCGTCACACCATCCTATTTTAGATATAAATAAATGATTTTCTATTTTAAAATTTATTGTCGCTTCGGTTGCGAGTTTGAAGTAAGTTTCTCTCTTTATCCATTGCTTGCTTTCTTTAAGTTATTCAAGAAATTTGGTAAATTTAAGCTAGCTGAGTCGAAAATGTTTTGAAATTGCGAGAGCTTTTTTCCAATTACGTGCATTTTCAACCTAAGTTTTCCAAAAGCATTCAGAGTTAAGTGGGATCTACGGTGAAGTTAAACAACTAGTGTTTTTCAGTTAACAATAGAAAGGGACAAAATTACAGACTGATGAGAACTTTGGAATATTTTTCCAGAAGGTCAGTAACTCCTCCTAAATTGACATTTATCAGTTTATTGAAATGCAGTGAAATGGATTTCATTTCGTTTTATTTTAAATCAGCAGTAAATTGCGCTTCATCGGTTGGTTTCTAAGGTCGTTTTAAATAGGGTTGATAATCACATTAAGGAAACAGTGTTATTTATTAAAGTGAATGGGAGGGACAGCTTCCTTTTTCAACAAATCACAGGGTACCCCGTGGACTATTCAAGGATTACCATCTCGAAGTGTAGCGAATTTGCCGGTTAAGCAGAATGATCTCACTCCTCCTTTTAAAAAACACTGTCTAAGCGGATTTTACATATCTCAACTTTTTTCAGTGGTATGTGTACCTATAAAGCAGAACTACGTTAAATTGAACTGATCGAACTCATTTACTCTCACAGAACTGCAGTAGTTATTTTTATCAACAGCAGTCCTAGAGCCCCATTTTTATCATATTAGCTTAATGTTGTTGTTAAATAAATATTTTCGTTCTCAAGCCATTAACCATTTCTGATAAGCCATCAACTGTCATTAATTTTTTTCAAAAGTATTTCAAAAGCATTGTTAATTGTACTAGATTTCTTAACTGCAGTCAGGTGAGTGAATTTAGCCTAGTCCTCAATGCATTGTTTGCCCGTTCTCAAAGAGGACATCCGTATCTGTTTGCACACTCATTTTATCGTACTAGATTAGCTATTGCATTCTAGACAGTATGATCTTGTCCTTAATTTTTAAATAGCATCTACTTTTGCTCACTACGCTTCCAAAAAGGCTATTCTTCCGCGTGGTTTTTTAAGAAAACTTCTATTGAAATGAGAAATTATGTAAGGGCAAAATTCATTACCTTGCGTAGCGAATAAAGTAAAGCCAAATTCCGATCATCATACTAAGACATGACTCACCTGTCATCTGAGCTCAAAATGGTTTTGCCACTGTGTTGGGATAATGGCCTTTTCAGACAAGAACTGCACAATTCTACCAACTGGGTATTTGCCGCTTGCCACTCGGAATTCTATTCCGATTCGATGATACAGGATTTTGAATACCTCGCCTATTTACTAGTTGATATTTCAAAAAGTGCCATCCGTTCACTGCTCCTAGAACTTGAGGTAGTTTCACCGCTGATGACTAATTTCGAATCGAAAGCTGACTTCCTAACTCTTGATTATATCTGCTGCTGCCAACGGTTGAGGTTAAGTCATGAGGACTTCAGGACTTTCACGTTTTTTTTACGAGAACGAGACGCATTTTACTGTGTTTAAGAACTGTTCTAAAGAGGGCAAACTGATGTATCAGTCTTCTGGCAACAATTTAAGTAAACGTCATGGAAAAATCTGGACAGCAGCACGCTTCCTCTCAAATCAAATCACTGATTGCAAAAAGCCATCTGCTCCCTGAACTTAATGGGCTATGTTTAATAAATTTTGAATATTTGTATGTTGAGACAATGATAAACATAAACCCACTCCAGGTTGCGTAGATCAAAGCGATAGGCTTGGAGCATCAGCAAGTGCGTCCATCTGACTAGTCTTGCAGCCTCATTGGACCATAGTCCTCCGGGCCACACTTCATTAGACTTTCCTTTGTGATCAGGTGGAATATTGAGGCTTGTGCTGCTACCATGATATTAAGCTGACTAGATCCTAGCTGGCTTTCATTAGCCCCTTGTTTTCATTAGTTGTAATCAGTTGACCAGGTTCTTGAAGATAAGTATATACCAGTCCAAGTATTTCATTACGATAGACTCATTATACTGGATTCCCATTTAGAGCAATCCGAAGTCCTTATCTTTGCAATGCTATCATATTCCCCTGCATTGTCTCGTTATCGAGAGTATTTAATAGTTAATGACAAGTTCCACCTTGCCGTTCCAATTGATATGATAGGCGTTCAAGTCAAATTTAAGTGCAGTTGCTATTCAGTATTCCTGCATTTACCTCGGCATTTGACTGGCACATGTAAAGCAGCTTCAGCACAGCAAGTGTTGTTAGCACGGTTGAGTCACTTGAGGATAGCTTGGTTTACTTCCTCTTAAATGTAGAATCCGTATACTTCCAGAGTTTTGATGCTTGATTTGGTTCTGGAATAAATTGAACTCAGGTTTCGTCGGGTTTAATGCTGTGACCCGGGAAATCGCGACCTTTCCGGTCCAAATGCTTCTTCACCTCAGTGCAGCATGCAACTCTTCTGTGATGGGCAAAATTAGTGACCCTTCAATCCACGTAGGTTGAATTTTCCGAATTACAAGCGTTGGTTAGTGGCTGTGCTCACTGTTTGCACAGAAAGATTCATCTCTCATGTGATTTTGTCACACTAGATTGTGAGTCAGTCAAGCATAGTGAATTAGGCTTTGGGCTAGAAACTGCCATGGCCAGGATCGCCGCTGGTGGATGTACAGCCGGGTGTCCTCAATGACTGGCGTTTTGATCAGCATACTGTGCTTGATGCGTTTTGCACGAGTAGATACACATGGATCTAGATTTAGCGCCTTTGCCGTTCGCAAGAACTTTCCTCTATCACCAAACTCTGTCCAATTTATACACACACGTACTATAACCTCCATTACCTCTCATCCCAATGAACGATGGGTAAACCGGCGTCTGCTACGACAGTCCTTTTTTAGCACATGGTTGCCAAGCTTAGGCTTCATTTGAACCGCACGCTCTCATATCAGTAGATGTTCACTCGGTGTCTTCAATCCACTAGGTTTCACGACTTAAGTCTTCTCCATCATTATAAACTTCCAGCCAGTAATTCTTTTCTTCTCGCCCCTTTCTGTCGACAGGCTCCCTCTGTCAGGTTCTACAAAGACGCCTCCGCCGCCGCTTCCGTGGCTTCGCACACCTTCAATCTGACCGAGCAGGGTGTGGCTCTTCGTCTAACTGTTATTGACGCTCCAGGCTATGGTGAGGCCCTCGACAACTCGTCTTGTTGGCGTCTCCTCGTAGAGGAGATCAACCGTCGCAACGCAGCCTTTATGGAGGCTGAATCGCGGGTGCAACGTAACACCACCGGGAGCGGATGCGGGGGTTCTGGTGGACGTCTTGGAGTGACTCCAGAGGATCTGATCCACGCTTGCTTCTACTTTCTTTCTCCCACTGGACATGGAGTGCGACAAATGGATTTGGAGGCAATGAGAGCTTTGCATGATAAAGTAAGTGGATAAAGAGTGATCACTTCCTCTGATTACTTACCACTATCTGCGGTTGGATTACTTCTTTTTTGAGATCTTTCACTTTAGTTCCAAGTGTGTCTCTTCGTGTAAATATAGCCACTTAGATCCGGACGTACGCATTTTTATTGCAAATTTGTGTCTGGAAAAGATTTGAGATAGTTCGTTCCTTTGATTAAACAGCTTCTTTGGAAGGTTTTTACTCCAATTTTCTAATTCAATACTAGTCTAAATGGTCTTGTCTGGATGATACTTGGCTTAAATACCGTGTGGAATGCTTTAAAAGCATCTTACTTTCTTGTTGAACTCCTTTTTATCGAAATATTTTTCTACTTCAAGCACATCACCTTTCGTATATGCCCTTATACGCTCAGACTATCCAAATTTCATTAAATAGACCTTTGTTCTCATTAGATCAGCGCTTAGCATGGTAAGTATAGAATACTTGATTAAACTGTTCAGTCATCTTTTGGTCCCCTAATCTCTCATTCCGATGAAATAAGGTCCTTATCACGATTTTGTAAAATCCGTATTGCTTTTATTGTGGAACAACTGGGTTGTAGCAGCATCGCAGCCTACCCAAGCTATCCACGAATAAAGTGCTTTTTGAGGTCTCAGTGTGGCTAATTAACATACAGTATGCTGGTCATTTGCAAGGCCTACCTCTGGTAGGTGATTTTACTCTCGATCACAAATGAGTGAGGGAGTCACGTGAGAAGTCTGAGTTGAGCAGTGCTGTATAGTGACCGAATTGATCCTACAAAACAGGAAGTGTCCTTTTCACAGCTGCAGAGAATGTTTGGCAGAACGAAAAAAGCTTGTTCATTGAATTGAAGGGATTAACATCCTGTGGGATTATTTCTGCCTTACTCTCAACACCGCCATTGAGACAGATAAATATATACTCTCGCTGCCATAGAAACAGTATATTGTTGGATTACATGGTATTTTATCTGTTGAGTTTTTTCACGGTGAATAATTTTCCTATGCTGGCTGCGTTTTGAATAAGTACTCAGTTAAAGGCCAGGGGCGATAAGTTTACTAGGACCATATTCTGACCCACTTTCTGCTTTGGGTTATTCTCAACTCCGCGTGACATTGAATGGCATTATATCTTCAGGTTTCACTACTCACTCATAATTTTATATTGGATTTACAAACCGTTAATGAGTTGGTTGTTTAAGCAGTTTAATTCTGGCGTTATTTCATTGCCTACCTGGTGACCGAAGCAATAGGTGAACAACAGTGTTGGCACGGTTTTCGGCGTAGCTGGCTCCAATGACCGGCAGTGGTTTTAGAAGCTTATAATATGTCTGCCATTGTTTATATGGATGTTTTATAA